TACTCCCCTCCATCCCCAGCACCCAACCCCAACAACAGCCACCACCCTGACCCCCCCTTCACCTCTCCCCATCCCGACCCCCTCCCTTCCTCCCTACCCACTGCCGCCTCCTCCCTGCTGGATGTTCTGGGGGGCGTTGGGGATGGGCAGCGGGGGTGGGCAATGTCACCATACCCCCCCCCACCCTCAGGCAGGGAGGCATGGGAAAGCCCTGCTGCTCGGGTGGCTGGAGCATGTTTGCTGGCGTCACAAACTTCCCCAGCAGCAGCTCAAACCCACACAACCCATGCAGCCAATCACCACCCACCCTCTTGGCGGCGCATGCATAGTTGGCCACAGGTGTTACGGACAGACAGACATACAGACTTTACTGTATTAGCATGTTCTAAGAGGAATTCTTATTGTTTAAAATGGCTTTAACATATGTAATCTGTCGTGATTTCCCCTAGATTCTTTTTGCTGATGGCACAGTGATCAAAAGTCCCGATTCCGGCCCTGTCCTACCACCACAGTCCAGCATAGCACCATCCACTATACCCGAGAATAACCTGCAAGTCCAGACACACTCCAAATTGGAACATCCTCCAGAGATCAGCACCAAGAAAGGTAGGATTTTCAGCTTGACATTCCAGTTGCTGCACCAGGAATTAGGGCAGTTTTACAATATGGACAAATAAATTGCAGTGAGTTATAAATAGAAAGGGGCTTACCACATGTCACCTGCTTCACGCTTTGTCTTAAATGAAAGCTAAACTGCAACAACTTACTTTTTCTCACTGAAGAATAAGCTACTAGAATTTACATTTCACCTACTGCAATGCAAGAAGAACACATGGAGAGTGACTTAAAATCAGCTGACGCCTGGTAGGTCCCCACCCCTCTTTAATGTGCTGTAACATGTTTGTATAAACACTTAGGGCACTTTTACATGTGGTCCAGGGGTTGGGGGTGGGAGGGGAAGCTTTAATTAGAGCAGCTCCAAGAGCTGCTTTTATTAAAGTGCCACAGTATCTCATGTGCCCCCCCCACCATTTTGAAATGCAGTGACGCTAATACACATGATGCAGAGGCTTGCTGGAGCATTGTAATTACCATGCTCCAGCAGATCCAGTTAATCAAGTCTGCTCCAATATACTGTAATTATAGCCTTTTGTTAGACTAAATAAACCAAACTTGTTTGTTTCTTCTCATAAGCAGGCTCTCCAGTCTCCTGATCATGCTAGCAGCTATTCTCTATACCAGTTTCAATTAGATTTAATATTTCTTGAACACTGGGTGTATCTGCATGAGACTCTTTACTGCGCAGTAGTTGAATCTGATGTGCAGTAAACTGCCACTGTCTACATGTGCGCACATTTACTGTGCATTAAATTAGTCTACTATGTAGTAAGCTACTACCTGTAAATACAGGTAATAGCACATGTATAGATACTGACTGGGAGCAAAATTGCTCCTGGTCAGCCCCAATACCAGTGGGCCACAGGAGATGGGGAATTCCCCTGGTTCTGATGCTACTCAGCTCCTGGCTCCCCCCAGAAGCTGGGAGCTGAGCAGCATGGAAATGGGGTACCTCTCTACCCACCCCAGACCTGGTGCTGCCCACCTCTGCCCCAGTGCTGCTGGGAGCCAAGCAGCACTGGGGACACGTCTGCTTCCCTACCCAGCCCAGGGCTGGCCAGGAACTGACCCTTCTGGGGTAGGTCCTAGCCAGCTCCAGGCTGCACGAGGATTTCCCCACCCACCCCAGAGCTGCCCTGCTGCCCACTGATCATGCAAGTGGCCCTCTTCTGGACCCTTTCAATGTTTTACAGCATGGACAAATAAATTGCGGTGAGTTATAAATAGAAAGGGGCTTACCACATGTCACCTGCTTCACACTTTGTGTTAAGCGAAAGCTAAACTGGGGCAACCCTCTAGAGTGGGAGGAGAGTAGGCCACTGTCAGATTCTAGAAGATCCTATCCCTGTGCATCCATAACAAGTGAAGCACTTCATAAGGGTACCTTGTTTCAATAAGTACTATTTTGGAGCACTGCAGCTGTTTTTGGAATGCTTTAAAGAGTATGTATGTCTATCTGAAATGGTTCAAGTGTTGATACTTCCTATAGCCGAAGGCTTGTCCCAAGATTAATCTTTGAAGAACTTCCTCAGTAACCCCTCCCCTGGGCCATCACTTTCCCCTTCCACAATCAGTTACAATAATCCTGGAGAGTTTACAGCTTGCTGACATATCTATGGCTGTGCATTATATCTAGAGTGATGTAGAGGCTTTTGTTTGTATTCTTGCAGGAAGGAGTAGCCACAAGGGAAGCATAGCACAACCAACCAAAAATGAATTGCCTGAGGGTCCCTGGCAGACTGCACAGCAAGAGAATGAGCCAGGAACCTGGATAACAACTACTCCATTGGGCTTTCAAGTGGCCACTAAGGGAGTAAAGAGATTGGATCTGAAACCATTATTAACCTATGAGGCAACTGACCCAGTTAATGAAACGGTAATGTTATTCTGATGTTATTCTGTGTCTGTTAATCTGGCTGATTCGCTAAATGTTAGAAGTAGTGTAGAATTTGTTCATTAGATAATTTCCTAAGATCTCTAATAATATATTAAAAATGCAAAGGTTGTGAAAGAATGTGAACCTTCAGGCTACTAAACTACATAGGACTGTGCTGGTTAAACTTTGCTAGTGTTAAAGCATCTTCTCTTTTTAATGTTTTACAGATGCTGATGTTAAAGTTTTTTGCCCTTCCAGGTTCTGGTAATACGAGAAGACAAGGTGATAATGGTTCAGAAAACTGATGGGACTATGATTGTGGATCATGCTGATGGTACTAGAATCACTACATTTTATCAAGATTTTGAGAAACATCTCATACCTGAGGATTATGAAGAAACAGGTAAAATCAAGAGGGGCATAATTCTCTCTCCTATAACTTGTAAAGCAGGACTATGTAAATGCAAACAATAGATTTTTTTTTTAATCAAAATTTTATATGTATAACCTAGATAATAAATCTGATATTCAGCCTAGGATTTTTTTTTTCAGTGAATGCTCTTTTATTGGTATGTATTGTAACATTATTTTATTGTGGCAAGAGAGGTATTAAGTAGATTTTCCCCTTCTTCATCCATCTGGGTACCCACATGCCTCTCATTCCCTGGGGAGCACAGTTCCAACCATTACTTTAAAAAATAACATTATCTCTCTTTATTCTATGCCCTCCAGTAACTTTGCTGACTTTTCTTTTCAAATGAATGAATCTGTGAGACTGACATTATGATTGTGATAAAATATGGGCATAAAGAATGGAGTTTGCTATTAGCCTTTTTCATTCACAGCCAAAAGCAATTTTTATTTCCTCTGTTCAGCAATACAATTTCATATTCTCTGTCCATTTGCATGGTGGAAAATATCACTTGCGTTCAGGATGGAGACTATACTTGCTGGCTCACAATACTTTGGGAACACAGTGAAAGGTCATGTTTTCAGAGGGAAAGATTGTCACTCAGACAAGGCCAGATCCATGTAGAACTAAAAAAGGACAGTGGCCTTCATAAATTCAGTGAGGAGGTGGTGCAGAGAACTTGCCGGGAGGTAAAGGTAAAAATGAGCTGCACTTCGTGAGGGAAATTAAAAACAAGTTGAGGTTCTATGTTTGTAAGCTGCTATGGGCAGTCTGGGCAGATGACAGCAGGGTATGTTTGGTCACACTAGTTGAGCTGACCAGTTTTATTTTTGCTGCTGGCTTTGGCCAAGGACCCACTGTTCAGGACCCTTCCCTCTGCTGCAGCCAGGCTAATAGATAATAATAGGAGGCCACCCAGGCTTAGTAGTGATGTAAAACAAACAAAATAAGTTAGCACTTAGCTGTCTTCCAGTGGTTCTTCCAGGCTTTACCTCCTGGGAGCCTCTTTTCCTTTAGAGGCTTTGCAGAGCCTGCAGGCTTGTGCAACAAAGCAAATGATCAAGCAAACAAACAGAGAAGAGCCCTGCTCTGGGCTCTCCTGGTGGCTGCCTAACCCCTGGCAACTCCAGGCTCCAGGCAGCCTGCTCCCTGGCCAGATGCAGCACCTTGAGGCTGCTTTCAGTGTCTTTTATCCTTCCCACTCTGGGCTCACATGGATAACCCTCTCTTACTCTCTACGCCTGCATCAGCTCCCTCGCTGTGGGACTCACTACATCCCAGGACCTGGTTTCCCCAGCCTCCAATGAGTTCTCCCCAGTCTGGAGTGGCTGTGCAGAGGTGCTTCTGGGGTGTAGGGCTATTCAGCCCCCCCCAAACCCCTAGTAACAGAGGAAGGTCAGAAAAGGAAGACCTAGCTGTGAGTCCACCATTAAATAACCAGGCAAAATCTTAACAGAAGATTCAAAGAATCTCAACAACTACTTTGCCTCAGTCTTCACAAAAAGTGTTAAACTGCAACCATAGGGAAAATAAGGCTAAGGAAGGGAACAAGCTGAGAGATGAGCTAACAAAAGAAACAGTCAGAGAGTCTTTGACATGTCTGAATGAATTTAAGCCAGTGAGTCCTGATGAACTTCATCCCAAAGGAGCTATCAAATGAAATTTTGGAGCTGGTAGCAATACAATTTACAAAGTCATGGGAGACAGACAAGGTACCAGAGGATTGGGAAAAGGTCAATATAGTGCCCCTCTTTTTAAAAAAAGGCAAAAAAGGGAAGTCCAGGGAACTATAAATGATTTAGCTTCCCCTCAATACCTGGGAAGTTGCTGGAATATATCATAAGGAAGTCCATTTGCAAACATCTAGAGAAAGAAAGGCTGATCAAGAGCAGCCATTTTGGATTTACTATGAACAAATCCATGACATATCTGCTGTCCTTCAACAGGATACTAGTTGGATGGATGAAGGAAATGCTGTGCCTATAGTATATATGGACTTCAGCAGGGCTTTTGACATAATCCCACACTGCAGTCTCATAAACAAGTTGAAGAAATGTAGGCTAAAAAAAAACCTACTAGAAGGTGGATAGACAACTCAATAGCTGCAAGCAAAGGGAAATCACAGACTCAATATGGATCTGCAGTGTGATGTAGTTGTGCAAAAGGTGAAAGCATTTTTGGGTTGCATCCCTAGAAGCATTAAGTGCAGGGCACAGGAGGTGATAGTGTCTCTACTCAGCATTACTAGGCTTCATTTAGAGTGGTGTGTGCAGTTTTAAGCTTCGCATTTTTAAAAGGACATAGAGATGCTGGAGAGGTTTCAGAGGCAGGTAACAACAAGAAAAATAAAGAATTTGGAAGACCAGTCATACAAGGAGAAGGGACAAGACACATTCAGCTGTGGGAAAAGTGCTTAAGATGGGACATGACACCAGACTTTAAATACTTGAACCACTGCTGTAAAAAGGACAATACCTTTTCACTCTTGCTGTAGAAAGTAGCATGTGGACTAATGGTTTGCAGTAACCAGTGATTGCAACAATATAGATTTAGATTAGATATCAAGAGAAACTTCTTCGCTGATAGAACAGTGAGGCAATGGAATAGACTGCCTAGAGAAGTTGTGGCATCTCCATCATTGGAGGCATTCAATGTTGGATAAGCATTGTTCAGGGATGGTCTGTGTGTAACTATGCCAGTGGTACCCCAGGGTGCCGCAGGAGCCCCTTGTGGCAGGCCAGAAGGAGGTGCTCCTGCGTTGAGCCACCCACCTCACTGCGCCTGACCACCTTCCAGGCTCTGAGTGCCTCCCTAGGGGTGCCTCTGATCCAGCTGACCCCCTTCCTGGAGCACACTCACTAGCCTGGGGGTAACATAAGCTGCCACCACCCCAAGAAAGGACTCTCTCAGCCCTGTGTCCTCGGGGAAACACAGGCCTAATAGTCCTACAGGTACTCGACCCAGTACAGGCACTTGAGGCACTTCCCCAAGTCGGGGGCCAAAAAGGCAAGTCTCCCTTAGTCCACAGACCTAAGGGGCCTCCTAGGCATAATTTAGACCCACCCCTCAATAACTCTCCTACACCAGTCACAAAGGAGGACTTTATTGATTACCAGGGTAGGGTGAAAATAGGGTACAAGATAGAGCAATATCATAGAAATCCTATAGAGCAAAACAGTCTGGCTGAGGTAGCCTGTTGATCATGCATCTGAGTTACTGCCAGCTATATATCTAACCAGATCTCAAGTAGCTTACTCACAAGCATCATCCAGAGGCTGTTAGAGATTCCCTCTGGAGGCAGGCCGTTCCTAGCTCATGAGTTATGGGGGACAGAGCCAGTTTCAGATGGTAAAACTCCTCTCTAAGTCTGAGTCGTCCGCATGGCTGCTGCCCCCTCCTCCTGGGCAGTCTTAACTTATATAGCCCCTGTGACCTCATTCACGTGGTCCAATGGGGGTCAGCACCTGCTGGCTGTCGGCCAACCAATTTGAAATACATCACTAGTTGCCGGGCAGACTCTAGCCCACCAGGTAGATGCCCCTCACCCAGGTAGCTGATACCAGTCACGTAGAGAGAGGGAGCAGGTTCCCCCCCTCCCTCAGCTCAGGTTACCGAAAGAGATAGGGTAAAGGTATCTCCTCTGCTGGGCCCAGCCTAATCAAATTGTCACAGCACAGAGATTTTTGGGGAGAAACAAAGGTGGCTTCCTGCCACACCCCTCAGGTATATTGTGATGCTGCTATGGTAGCAGAACTTCAACAGCAAAATAAAATTGCCATGTGTGCACTCCTCCTGCGTTAGGGCTCTGAAACTAAAGCAGACAGGAACTGCCTTATGCTATAACTCTTCCCTCTCCAGACCTTCCTATGCTTATCCCAGGAACAGAGACATCCAGGACAGTTCCACCCCTTTGTGCCTTTGTTTATGGGAGGAGCTGGACTGGAAAATGCTACCCACCACCTGGCTGCCTCCTGCACACAGTGCCTCTGTGCTGCAGGCATATGCCAAGGCCCAGCAGCACCTGGAGTCTCTGACAGAGCCCCTGAGAGCCATTGAAAGACTCACAGTGGCATCCTCCCCAATGCCACACAGAGCAACCCAGAGTCCCAACTGGTCACAAGGAGAGACAATGGACCTGATTGCACTGTGATGTGATGCCAAAGTGCAGAGCCAGTGAGCACTCCAACACCCACTCCCTTGCCTGGGCAGCTAGGTGCCATGCCTCTGCACTCTGAGACATCACCAGTAGCTGCACCTTGTTGCCACCTGCAGGGAAAGACTCAGGCCACCAGGGATTCCTGCCATGTCCATCTGGTAAGCCCCACACAGGAAGGAGAGCTGAAGGGGTAAGGCAGCGATGTAGTCACCCATGCATTGCCTGGATTCGTAGTCTTTCATGCATTACCCATGCATCAGTGGTCTTTCACTAGACCAAGGAGAAAACAACACCAGGTAGATACAGAATGAGCATGGTAGGAATAATTGCCATTGTATTATTGCCATAGAATTGGTGTATGACCAATTAAAATAATTAGACATGTACAAGTCAGTGGGACCAGATGGTCTTCATCTGAGAGTGCTGAAGGAGCTACCTGAAGTCATTGCGGAACCCCTGGCGAAACTCCTCCACAACTCATGGTGCTCTGGAGAAGTCCCTGAGGACTGGAAGAGGGCCAATATTGTGCCCATCTACAAGAAGGGCAGGAGGGAGGACCCGGGTAACTATAGGCCAATCAGCCTAACTTCTGTCCTAGGGAAGATTCTAGAAAAGATCATCAAGGAGCCTGTCTGTGATAAGCTTGCAGAAGGTAAGATTCTGAATGACAGCCAGCATGGCTTCATTGCAGGCAGGTCTTGCCTTACCAACCTCATCTCCTTCTTTGACCAGGTAACTTGCCACCTAGACACGAGAGAGCAGGTTGACATTGCACACCTAGACTTCCAAAAGGCCTTTACTCTAGTATCCCACAATGTCCTTGCGAGAAAATTAG